ATAAATTTAAAATATAATTTATATATTTAAAAATATTTATTTATTAAAATTTTTTATTATAATATTATATTTAAAAGTAGTAATTTATTTATTCACTTTAAAAAAAATTCTTTTTTTATTATAAATTGTAACGATATAAAATAAATCTTTGTCCTAGCATTGCATTGGTTAAAATATTTGTTGTAATAATTAAACTTTTAAAATAGTGCAATGATATAAACAATTAATTTATATTCGTTACTAAATAATGACGAAGAGTGTCCATACGTTAGGACTTAAGAGGATTAAACAAGATACATATCATGAAAAACCAACTCACTAAAATAGCTTTTTATTTTTATTTTTTATTTTATAATATTTTAATTTAATATTGACTGAATAAAGTTGTCATGAATTGGACTTATGGGCTCCTAAACCCATTATTAGAAACCAAGCCAACCCATTTACTTTCCTCTCAAATTTAACAATTAAGTTTCATTTATTCTTTCCTCTGAAATTTAACAACACAGCTTTCCACTCCTTCCGGCTCTTGCCCTAGCACACATTCCAGACTCCCTCGCCGGCCAGGACACCTCCTTCCCTGTTAGGTATTTCATTCTTCCCCACTTTCTCGCTCTGTTAGGTATTTTACTTTCATTCTTCGCCGGCCATGACACCTCCTAGTTATGCGTTTCGCTTATGAATTTGGAAATTCTATTTATTTCGTTTTACACGAGGATTGTTGGTGTTGTTGTTTACTAGGAATTGAAATTAGCGAACGGCTAGGTTTTGGTGCATGAATAATTGAATGTGTAAAGCTTTTAGGTTATGCCTCTTTTGAAGCTGTTTTTGGTGCCTTGAGTTCGAAATAAGTCTTTTAGGTTACTCGCGCATTTGTTAAGGGACCAAAATTTTGGACCAAAAGCTGTGACAATGTGCACCAGTAAACCTAATCGCCCAGAAAATGAATCCCCCACCAATGGCTTGATAGTGCTTAGCGAAATTGAAGCCGAATTCTCAATTGGGAAGTGTGAAATATCGGAATTGGTGAAACTGATTGATGAGAACAAGATGGTTGAGAATCATGTGGTGGAAAAATTGGTGGAGGGTGATGAAGGGAAAGAGGATTTTATAGAGATTCTCATGTGAACCCTTGGAAAGAGGATTTTACGGTTTCTTTGCCAAGGGATGAACTAGATCAGCTGAAAGATATGCTAGGAGAATGGGGCATACACTAATATTTCTTGCCGTGATTGTTTTTTCGAAACAACACTTGCTTATGTTGCGTTGATTGTTTTTCATTTGTTTTATTGTCAATTGCTATTATAGTTTAGTATGTATGCCAGTAATAATTAAATAATGATTTGGTTATCCACTCTTATAGGGTATATTGAATTGGAATTGGAACCAATTCTCAAAATTACTAAATATAAAGGAAAATCAAATGTTATATGAGATTAAATGGAAAACCTTGATCTGGGCCTATGACGGGGGCCCAAAACCCAAGGGTGAAATTTTCATGTGAGCTAAGAGATAAACATTGTGCAATTTGCTCATGGAAATTCCCCCTTCACATTTTGTTTCCAGCCAAATAAGGTTACAGAAACTTGTTCTGTTTTGTGAGTCTCAAGAAGAACAAACTTTGAATGTCAAGTAACATATTATAGAGGGGGTAGCATTTCTATTTTAGACTTGTTAATTCTTGAATGAACTAAGTGTGTTCATTTCTGTGATAAATCTTTTGATGCATTTTGTAATGTGTTCATTTATGAGATAAGTGTGTTATTAATATTTTTGGAAAGTTAAATCTGCATAAAAGGCAATGCAATTTTGTTGTTTGTAATTGGGTTTAGTTAGTTAGTTACCTCTGTAGCATTCCCTTGTAAACTGTTTGGTTAGTCATGGAACTTGAGAACTTGAGATGAAGAAGTTATAGTATCGTACACTGCTTGCTTAATTAAACCAATCACGTGCAAATGGGTCAATCTATCTACATGATTAGTGACGTTAAAATTTGGTATCTATTTCTTTCGTATGTAGTTCTTCTTTCTTGTGAAATATCAAATCAGCTCATTGTCATTTCAATGCAATTGGCTAATGCTGGGACGAGCCTCATGGCTTTAGTAAGTTTGAAACTGCTGCGTGGATACCATGTGCCCAGGACCACGTGAAGTTGTGAAATTAAATCATCGATGTTTTTTATACCAGGCAATAGTCAAATTTGGATATTGATATGTGAGATTTCTTGCTTGTAGACAAATGTGAAGTTTTGGGCTTGTGGATGCCACGCAACTCTTAAAGACTTTAATCTCAAGTTACTTTCAAAGACTTGAATAAGTTCTTCTAAACACACCCTAATTAAAAAAAAAATGCAAATTACACTGATATTCCTTGTGACTTGACACGTACCCTTCTTGTCTTTTTAATATTTACGGTAGTCCCCTTCATTATTTGAAACACGTTACATATACATGGTATATCTCTATTACACACGACACACGACACACATTACATTGTAGGCATTAAAAACATAGGATATGGTGTGAAATTTCAACAAATCACATGGGATGTAATTTGTCCTAATAAAAATAAAATATACAAAATTAAATATTTGTATAATATTTATCTGTAGTTAACATTGTTTATAACCCATTTATAGAACCTCTACACTACTCACCCCTTAAAATCTATTTTTCATATTTAGAATCGATCCACACTCCTAATGAACCTAATAGTATTGATCAATCTTCTGAATCATTCTCTTCATTGTAATTGCATAGTAAATACCAAATTCCGTCGGAAATTTATTTGTTTCTGTCAGAAATTTCCGTCGGAAATTGTCATTTTTCTTGTAGTGTATAAAAGTTGAATTAGTTTTTTATAATAAATCAACAATCAAATTTGAGAAAGAAAATCACGAAGTCAAATTAGGTTTGATAATAAAAAAGTACAATGGTTTAAATATTTTGTAAATATTTTTTTTAGTTTGATGCAACGATCTTTCAAATTCATGACAATTACACTATTACAAATAAAATTTGTTTTTGAATCGCTAGACCAAAGAATATTGATAGTAAAACCCAAAAAAAGAAAATTGACCACTGACAAAACTTGACTTAACATAATTCATATATATGGTAAAAATTAAATATTAATTTTCTAATACTATAACAAAGTGTATCCGCTCTAATTCCTAAATAAAACTTGAACTATGTAAAGTGAAACCTCGTAATTTAGGAAACTCGCATTAGTCTTTAATAATTTTTGTTTACACATTATTCTGTCTAAAAATCATAAATAATAAAAGATTATTTTTGAGTACAAAATAAAAATAGAATCTTAATTAGATATTTTATATTACCAACTATTCAGAAATCAATCAAGATAAAAATTAGCAAGGGTTTTAGTGCAGCATGAAGAAAAGGAGCTCCCAAAGGACTAGAAAAAACATGATATGATATTAGAAGGCCCAAAGTCCAACAACGCTGGTTTAGTAGTCTAGAACGGGCCGTTCCAAACTACTAAAAAGGCCCTTTAATCCTAGTCTGGAACGGACAATTCCAATTAAATTTGTTATGACTAAATTTCAACATTGGAACGGGCCGTTCCCAGTCTGGAGCGTCCCGTTTCAAATTGAAATCTAACTCATTACAGATTGGTCTAGAACAGGCAGTTTTGATGTAGTTTATTATGAGTAAAATGCATATCCAGAACGGGTCGTTCTGAATCCGGAACGGCCCGTTTCAGGTTGAAATATAACTCATTACAGATTGGTCTAGAACAGGCAGTTCCGATGTAGTTTATTATGAGTAAAACGCATATCCAAAACGGGCCGTTTTGAATCCGGAATAGCCTGTTGCAGTTTAAAATTTAACATATAGCAACGTGTACCAGAACGGACCATTCCGTAACCGAAATGGGCCGTTCTGGCCGTATCTGGTGTCTATGAATAGGAGTCTCATGCATTGTTTTGGAGGTCGAAAAAATTACTTCAGAATCCCTTATAGCTCAAAATTTTTCTCTCTTCTTCCTATTGTATATTTTGAGATTTTGTGATGTTTATGTAGTGTGCTGAGTTGTCAAAAAGCACCTAAGAGTTTCTTAGTTGAAGATTTGATAAAGCTCGTTAAAGAGGTATTTCAGTCAACTCTTTACTCTTTCTTTTATTTCCTTGTTTTAAGCATGTAAATAAATATTAATAAAAGGGTTCCAATATTTAATTTTTTAATTCTTATCACTTTAACTTCATCATAGAATATTATTGAAGGCGTTATAAGGGTGCTTAATATCTTTCTCACACGTAACTGATCTCTGAACCCAATTTTTGGTTATTAAGGCCATCATTGAATTTTCAAAACCTTTTCTTTTTTTAATGTTTTGAAGAAAATATTAGTGACGACTCCAAAATCTTATTTTCATAATTATTAATTAAGAATTAGTTTGATCTCTGAACATTTCTTAATTGATGAGATTTTTAAAAGAAACTTAAATCATTTAATCACAAGATCGAAATTTTATAGGTTGTGACAGTGGGCTAATTCAATTGGTAGCTTTTCTTGTTCCTTTTGGATAGTATCAAGGTTACCCATATTCAACATTAAGTCTGGTGGATCTGGCTCTTCCAAAAAGTGCAACTTGTTCAGGGCTAAGGCTTCCATATGCATGGCGCGGAAGCCATGCCCCTAGTTGTGCAACAAGCTTTGTTCCTTGCTATGTACTAAGACCAACTCCTTAAAGAATGGGCCAAGTTTTTGATTTTGATTTGAATCAATTTGTCGATGTGACTCATAAATAATATTATTAGACGTTGAGGGTCTCACCATTTTGATCTTATTAGGTGCACTTTGCAACATGAAAAGTTCTTGAGCCTTTACCACCATGTGGTCTTTTATTTTTATTAGCATGAGCATTAATGTGTGTGGCATTTGCTCCCTCTTGCCCACATGAATTCTATTAGAATTATAGCACCTTCGAAGAATTAGGTGCCATTTTGCCTAATACAAAAAATTTATTATGGCTCAATTTGATTCCACATGGGCTTTTACCTTCAACATTATCAAATTGAGAATATACCAAAGGATTATAACCTTTATTTGTGTTATGATTCGTTTTTTTCAAAACCAACCAATCCCCATACATATTCTTTTCACCTTGATTTCTCCAAGAACCCTCTCATCTTGCACAACTAACTAAGGGTTAGTAGGATTCATTGGTGTAACAGACTTTGTCATCTCCGATTTTCCTCTTGGCATCGAACTAGCCTTTGGCCCCTTGACCTGACAAGACCCTATTGTATGGCCATATAACCCACAATGCTTGCAAATTGAATGCAAATCCTCATACTCAACATGAAACCAGTGGTTTTGAAACCAAAATGGACCTATCACTAGCTACGTAAGATCAATCTCAACACAAACCTTGGCAAATTTACCTCGAGACTAGGGATGGCAATGGAGCCCCTTGGGGGCGGGTAATAGTAAACCCACCCTCACCCTGCTGGATGAAAATTGGTCCCATACCCATCCCATATCCGCGCGGGTATCCATTAAACGAGTATCCATGAATTTCTTGAATATTCACGGATATCCATGGATATTTATAAATTTTTTAAGAAATTAAAAAAATTATATTACAAATAATTTTAAGTTTATATTTAATATCATTGAAATGTTAAAAATAAAAATTCAATGTTAATTTTGAACTTCTATTTAACATTAATTTTGTCGAAATAATAATAAAAATTCAAGATAATCAATAACTTAAAATACATCAATCTCACACAATTAAGTGAAAGTCTCATATCACAAAGCTACAATAATTCAATCTCATAATTCCAAACGAAAGTAAACAACTTAAAATACATAAATCTTATTGGTCCAATCAAAGTTAAAAAATTAATCAAATTACATTCAACATAATTCTATGGAAAGAAAATAATGAGAGTGTAGTTTTAGGGTTATGTGATACAAGGATAATTAGGATATTTAATAAATATTATTAAATGAATACCTGCGGGTATGGATATTATCATACCTGCCCCTGTCCCATTTATAAATTGGTAAAAAATTATCCGTCCCCATTATCCATGAATATCCAATTAGTCTATTCATTTATTATTCGTAGCGAATTTCACCCACAGATACTCGCGGGTGCGGGTATTTTTGCCATCCCTACTCGAGACGCCATCAAAGTAGTCAAGTCCATACGAATAGGCTTACCTACCACAGTTGCCAAGGCCATTAAGACACTTTCATCATAGAATTCCAGTCCCAAATAAGGGAACCTAATTCACATAAGAGTATGATCAATCATTTCTTTAGAAGCCACGAAGTCCGGAGCCTATCGAACTGTCAAGTGATGATAAAAAATCATTCATTGACCACCATCCATCACTTTACCTCTATCATAGCAGAGTTAAACTTGACCATCAAGAATCCATGTCTCATGTCCACCATATCAAATCCACGAGAAGGCTTCCAAGTAGTCTGAAGACGATCCTTCATAATTGGGTAACCAACTGTTTTTCCCAAGAGTTTAATTATCATTACATCCTTTCATGGTGCCTACAACTCATGCAAAATTGTATCATCAATAAAACACTTGGGACGAAGTCAATCGCTCTCCTCCAATTCAACCCTAAACACATTAAGACCAATGAAGTCCTTCTTCGCTCGTTGTGGCAGGTTTTTGAACCCCATCATCTTATCATGAAACTAGATCTTCGAGGTTGTAAAGGAACCACCACCATCAGGTGGTTTGCGTGGCAGCGTAGTTTAGTTTTTCTCCCCTCCTCCATCATGTAACCCTTCCATCACTTAACTTAGTTACTTGCCTTTTTATTATTTAAATTGAAAAATACAAATTTTAATTTTAAAGACTAAAAGATCCCTTAATATTTTTTTTTGTAACAAAGATTTAAATTAGGACAATTGATATAAGATCAAAGTCAACCACTAATTTTTTAAAATATTATTAGTAAAATTATGAATCCTTTATTTTATCTCTATCATTAAATATGCATGAATGAATAAAAATACCTTAAAATTAAAGAGAAAAATATATTTAAATTTAAAAATTATGATTATAAATAAAAAATAAAATGTTGTATTATTCTTATGTATGATCAACATAGTAATGGTGAAGATAAAATATACCTAATCACATATTTAAAAAAGTATACACATATTCTTATGTTCAAAGTGTAATCATTATAGTTTTGATGTATAAGAAAAAGTTGTTGGTTTTTTTTTTTTGGCTAATTGATCTTTTAAGCATAATGCAAGTTTTTGGTGTGAAACTTGTGTATGGATGACATCAATAGTATTGTTACCGGTAAGAGAAGAGAAGCTCCTTTCGTTTTCTGCTCTGTCACCAACTACTGTCGACGAACTTTTCGTTAAAGATGGAAGTGGCACCCAAAATCGCTCCTTCGATGCTCTCTTCTGACTTTGCCAATTTGGCTTCCGAGGCCCATCGCATGCTTAACCTCGGCGCCGATTGGCTCCACATGGACATCATGGTAACCAATGTCTCCGATTCACCATTTTTTTTTTCATATTCATGCATACTTGCTCATATTTTTCTTTTTTCCTTCATTTGTAGGATGGGTAACGACCTTGCCTCTTGCTTTGCTTCTGCTGTAATTGTCCTCAAATTTTTGCCATTACCTCCAAATTTAATGGGTTATGTTGCATTTCTGTGTATTCCCTTTTCTTGTTTTGTTTGGTTAATCTAGAAATATCTCTTTAGGAGAAAAAAAAAAGTAAGTAGGAAAAATGGACAAAAGTTTAGGTAAAACTAGCTCATGCATGAGTATCTTTATGGAGAAGTTAATAAACTAACATGAGAAAATATCTTTAGGAGAAAAAAAAAGATATTTAGGAAAAATGGAAAAAAGTTTCACTTCAAGTTAAAACTACTAGTTCATACGTGAGTTAAAAATATCTTTTTGGAGAAACTAATATGAGAGAGCTTCTATAAAGTAGCTCATTTGATAGATTTCATCTTACAATCAATTAAAATTAAGTGAAGTTGTCCAATTGATATATAAATTGCCCTTCCCCTCTCTAGAACTAGGCAATGCCTATCATAATAGGCAAACCAAGAAGATAGACTTTAGGCTCTGATTCCATATTAGATTTTAGCTTAAAGCTAATTGAAATTAAGTGAAACTGCTCAATAGATATATAAACCGCACCTGGAGAATTGAGACATGTGATGTGAGACTTTCCAAAATGTTAAAGTTAATTTTAACTTCTGAAAAACTTATTTCATTTCCTTTTTCTAAAAGTGTTTCTAAAGTTTAACCAAAATGACTCTTAATATTATCTTTCTACAAGGATAACGGGGATAGTTCTTTTACCTGTAAGAATATTTTTGTGGCAGACTTTAGTGTCTATTTTGCTTCTATGCTTGTAACAATGAATTTGAGTGAGGTGTAACAAGTTTGTTTGGTGCTTTGGGTTGGGTTAACATTGAATAATATACTCTTTAGTTTATTTGAATATGTATTCTCATGTAGTAGGGATAAGAATGTTCAATGGTGAATCATTTGTTGAATGTATTGGGGTATAGTTATTCATGAATATTAGTGAATACTACATTCTGAATCAAGCTTATCAATAGGATTGATTTGTTAGCAGATGGAGGATGCCAATCTTCTATCATGTACTCATGTTCAATAATAACAATTGCAAGAATTTGGTAATCTCATACCTTAAGTGTAGGTTCTGCTATAGTATTCATTTCTAGTCGGTGCTTCATTCTCTTCTATAAATTTCTCTAATATAAATTGTCTGTATTGTGTTGTACATGGTTATTAGAACCTTGCAAGTCAATATGATTCAACTATCTTTGAATTTGTATCATAAGATGATCTAAATAGTTTTGTATCTTATGATACATAAACGAATCTTTGCAATTTTGTATCATACATATAAATTAGATGATTCAAAGATTCATTAATTATTTGTTTACTTTTTTTTTTCATCAATTTTCATGAAAAAATTGAAAAGTTGCATGAGCTTAATTTTTTTTTAAAAAATGAATTGGAGAAGCATTTATGCTATTTGATTATTCCAATACTTTATTTTTCACTCACTCATTCAGTGCTGCATTCCATTTGTCTATTTCATTGCATTGTTTCCATTTGGCTATTTCATTTATTTCATTTCATAAGACTTATTGTTAATTTCTTTTATCTATTCATAATTTAAAATTATTACAATGAACTCTATATATATCATCTATATGATATATTAGAAATAATTTCTCATGTCTTTGAATCTTATATTTGATGCAAATTATGATTTATGATTCAAAAATTAGCTTGGCGCTTCACGATTTGAATCTTGATTTAATAACCTTTTTTGCTATTATTATTTTTTTAGTTGCCCCAAATTTTATATTCACAACTTTCCTGACTAGAACATTAGCATTAAGGTTACTAATAGTGGATAACGGTATATGGCGGTGAGGCTAAAAATCCTTTATAACTTATGGCAGATGTCATGGAGGATAATATATATATATATATATATTTTTATATTCTCCAATTTTACATATTAAATAAATATTTTAGACATTTATATTTTGATATATATATATATATATATATAAAGGAATGATCCTTTTACTCCAAAAGTAAGTCTAGATTCCATTCAATAACTCATGTTCTATATCAAATTTCAACGATCTAGCCGTTTAATTTAAAGTTTTTAATGTATAGATCAAATTTGTAAATTTTTAAAACATTTTGAAACTCATTTGATACTTCGTTTCATTAATTTGAATCAATGTATAAAATAATTTTATGATTATTCGTCAATTTAAATTAATGAATTGAAGTATCAAATAATTTTCAAATTTTAAAAAATTTACAGATTTAATCTATGCATTAAGAACTTTAAATTGAACGGTTGAATCATTGAAATTTGATGTAAAACATGAGTTATTGAACGAAGTAAGTCCAGGTAGTCTTACTCTTGGAGTATATGAAGTAAAAACCGTAGGTTAAAGCTTGCATCTAGGTGCTAGTTCTATTCTACATGAAAGATTGAAATCATAATAGTTGGAAAGGATTTTATTCATCAACCTGACTTGGTATTGCTATAGATTATTTGTAGTCACCTCATGGGTGCTTAATTTTGTTTATTATTATACTTTACTATTTTTTTGTGTGGTTGGCCAATAAATTACTGAACATGTTTCCTTTCCTTTCTCCCCTTTGCCTCTATTTTGTACAGGCATTTTGTCCCCAATTTAACTATTGGTGCTCCAGTTATTGAAAGTCTGAGAAAGCACACAATGTAACGATCTTCATTTTTCACTGGTCTAGATGATTTTATGCAGATTTTTTTTGTTGCCTATTAGCACGATATATGGTGCACTTTAGTCATTAACCATTAACCCTTGTAGGGGATATTTGGATTGTCACCTTATGGTTACAAACCCTCTTGATTATGTTGAACCCTTGGCAAAAGCTGGTGCTTCTGGTTTTACATTTCATGTAGAGACATCAAAAAGTTGGTCCCTATACTTTCTTCTTTTGGTTTGTCTTCCTTTTACACCATTTTCTTATGCCCACCTTTATATAATATTTTGTCTTCAGCCTCTTAAAAGTGATTTTTGTGGATAGATAACTGGAAAGAACTTATCCAAAAAATCAAGTCACATGGCATGAGGCCTGGTGTAGCATTAAAGCCTAGGACCCCCATTGGAGATGTTTATCCTCTGGTATGTAGTTTTCTAGCTCTGGTTCTCATATGGTCATACCTGTATAGCATGATTTTATTATCTGCCTTTATCATCTATGAGTGGCATGAGTCCTTGTGCATAAACTTGAGAATAGATATAATATCAATGACTGGAAGCCCTTAATGTCATATGCATGTGTGCTTTTTTTTTCCTTTTCTTTTTCTTATGTGTCATAATCTTTATTCTTTTCACTAACAGGTGGAAGCTGAAAATCCTGTAGAAATGGTTCTTGTGATGACTGTAGAGCCTGGATTTGGAGGACAAAAATTTATGCCCGAGATGATGGATAAAGTATCGTCACTCTTTCTTGTGTTATGCTTTGTGACTGAAATTTCTTGTCAATTATGCAAGTTGTATCTATTTTTTTGTTAATTTTTTTTCTTCCATTTTGAAATTTCAAATCAGGTACGTATACTTAGGAAGAAGTATCCATCACTTGACATAGAGGTACCTCAGCACATTTTTTGTTTCTAACTTCTTTCCTTTCAAGTTAGATGCATATTTTCTTCCTGGTTATATACATAGTAGAGTATTGATATTTTTTGCTTGCTTGATTCTTGAACTTGTTAAATCTTTCATGTTTTACTTATTTATGTTCTCTTCATTTATTTATTTATTTTTTTGAATAAAGAACAAATGGTCTTTTATTTAATTGTTGCCTTTGCACTTTTAACTTCTTTTATATAATGGTTTTTCACCAAAACTTCCCATTCAATATTATTTCTAAGTGCCCAATTATTGTATTCACGAATATTGGAGGTGATTAAGGTTCTTATTGGAAGAGCTTATTCATAGCTTATTTAGACTTATCTTATAACAAAGGCATCTGTGTAAGTGTTTGGGAGAACTTATGAAATAAAGTTATGATATATTCGTAAATTATTTTCAGTTTATCTCAACAAGGTTCTTCAGATGAAAATAGCTTATAGCTTATATAGAATCAGTTTAACCCTATTTCCTCCTTGATTATAAAATAACCTATACATAATACATAAGCACTTATTCAACAGTGTTGCTAAATGGCAATTATGGCGGCGACTGCTGCGTTCCGTTATGGTTGTTTGGCCTCTGTATGGCACGGGTTTGTCATAGGCCATTATAGCAGTAACGACGTGGCAATTTACGACGTTCATGGCTCCCATTTTGGGCTTTTGATTTCCATTTTTCCGGGTTTGGGCCTAGGTTTTTTTTTTCTAGGTTTGGGCATTCCATTTTTTTCATTTTCCTTAATAGGTTCGCAATAAGACCCTAACCCTATAGTTCTGAAACATTGTCTCCTATGTGCAACGTCAACGGTGTGCCTCCTCCGATGAGTTCTGCAGCTGCAGTTGCCTCTAACGTGACCACCACCTCGTGTGCGATTCTACTCCACTTCTCCTTCCACATGCGAATCTCTCTTTCTCCCTCCGCACGCGAATCTCTCTTTCTCCCTCCGCACGCGAATCTCTCTTTCTCCCTCCGCACGCGAATCTCTCTTTCTCCCTCCGCACGCGAATCTCTCTTTCTCCCTCCGCACGCGAATCTCTCTTTCTCCCTCCGCTCGCGATTCTGCAACTTCTCCCTCCGTGTTTTGCTATTTTTTAACATTGTTTCTTTGTTTTGATGACCATTTAATCCTTTTGTTGGTTAGGAATTTATGTCTTTTTATGATGACTTTCACTAAATTATGAATGCCATGAATTTTAGATTGTTATATTATTGGTTTTAATATATGTGTTAGTTTTGTGTTTTTGCATCATATTATATATATATATATATTTTTTTTGTC